TGGTGTGGACATTCTCTTTGCCATATCCTCTCATATTGCCTGTCTGACCGAGGACCTAAGCACTGTCATAGCATGGAGGCCGAAATGGTGAGGACTGAGCCTGGCCAACGAAGTGAGAAACCTTGCTGCTTTCCTTCTAGACAGCGTAGTTCCCTCCATAGAGCAGTAGTCCCATGAGGCCACCACATCCTTCTCACATGTTCAGATGGAGAAAGCAAAGCTCAGAAAGGTTAGGGGGCCAACGGGGGCTTCCCGCAGCTGGGGCAGTACAGGCTAGAAGCCAGATTGAGGGCATCCAATTCCCAGTCCTGTCTCATTCCCACTGAGCCACTCTGCCTCGCTTTTAATTTAATTAGGAGAACATTTAATCCCCTCGTGCATTTCAGAGACGGGTTTGAGCCTGGCTGGGGCTGCATGGGGCTCTGCCGGGGATCCTGTGACTCACACAGCCTTGGGCAGCCCTCCCAGTGAGGCTCCCAGGGGGCTTCTTTGGCACCTTTTGCAGACAGAGGTGGTCTGGAGCCTCAGAGAAGACAGGACACTGGTCAGGAAAGATAAACTGGTCTTATGTGTTCTTGGCACACTCCTTTTCTGTCCCCCTGGCCACTGGACCGAGCAGAACCTTTCAGTCCTCTCCCACCAATGTCTGCAGGTTGAGAAACCAAGTGAGGAATGTGGGTGATTACAGAGGTCCATTGCCTAGGGCCACAGCAGGCCCTAGTGTCTCAAAAATGTCCCAGGCAAAGCTGGTCCCATCGTAAGAGCTGGCCCCTGAGTCTGTGGAACTGAGTTCAGGGCTAGACTTGTGACATCTTCCTCCATTTCCAGAAGGCACGGGCTGGCCCTGGCCTCACGGACAAATGCAGAATTCAAGAGACATTAGTAGTGATGTGGATGAAAGCCAGGCCACAGTGGCCTCACTGGAAAAGAGAAACTTGAACGTCTTGGCGTGAGATTCTGCAGGGTCCAGGAGAAAGTTGAAGACATGGAAATTCTAATTAATGCACATGGGGCTGGTTTTGCTCAAGGATTTTCGAAGCTGTCATGTCTCAAGAGACGGGGCAAGCACATGCTCACCAGGGAGGTACTCACAGTCACCTGGTAGGTTCTCTGCAGTGCCTTAGCCTGTAAGCTCACTTTCCTTCTGCCTTCTTCCCATCCCTCTGGTTGGCCATACCATCTCAGTGGATAGGGTGCCTTCTGAATGTCACTCACGGGGAGGGGAGCTGGTAACCATGAGTGGAGGCTTGGCTAAGTGCCATAACAGAAAAGATGGAAATGCCCGGGACCAACTCAAAGACCCTCCAGGGAAACCATATGATGGAACAGGGCTGAGCCACAAGCTGCCGGGTGCATGGCGGGCTTGGCCCCTTGGGACATCCATCTTGGGTCTCCATATGCAGCTAATAGGCTGATGCGTGGTTTCAGGCCAGTCCTGGCTGGCTTAGCAGCTGCAAGGAGAGAGGGAAGGAGGCTTTCACAAATGTGGCTGTGGGAGAAGTACACCCAGGCCATACCCGCACAGTCCTCAAGCTCAAGAGGTGCAGATCTTTGTGCCCTGAGCCCTGTGACAGCATGCATAGGAGGCACCCAAATCCCTCTCTTCATATCCTCAGGCAGGGCTGAGGAGGTGCTCTTTGCATGGGGTAAGGGGTGTGGCAGCCCTAGGGCTCCCTTGTGCCAGCAGATTTGGGGGTAATGCCCTGCTTCCTTCTAGCCCTGAGCAAAGTGCTCAGGTTACTGGTACTTAGGACCTTGAGAGCCAGAAGGCTGTAGCTGTCCAGCCTGCGAGCACCTAGGAATGGGGGTAGGGTCCTGGAGTCAGGGACAGTGGAGCAGGTGCTGAAAAGATGCTAGGATTCTTGATGGCCTGATGAGTGACAAGGTCATTACAGATGACAGAATACCATATATAAGGCAGAGACACACACAGGAGTGACTGTGTTTCTCTCCCACTGTCCTGCCAGTGACCCTTGATGGGCAGAGGACAGTAAGTAGGGCAGGATCCTGGGAACTCATTTTGGTTATTGTTGGGGTATAGGGTTCCCCTTCTGTCATGGAAGTCTCCCACATGCTCCCCACAATGGCTTCCAGTCTCTATTCACTCTCAAATGCCCAATGCAGGACTTTCGGTGGAGGACTTGGGCTCAGCACTTAGGATCAAAGGGGCTCCCTCAGCCCTGTCAGACCCAGGAGGACAGCATCTGGTACAGAAGTGTGTGTGTGAGGCTGAGGGCACCCGAGGTGGCAGGGGCCTGGGGGCTACATGTGAGCTGCTGGGGCTTTCTATGGGCTGGGGCTGGCAAAGCCATAGTCTTCCCAGCACCCTGTGCTCCAGTCCCTACTTGCCAGTGACCCCCTGGTTTTTACCAGGCCTGCTGGCTGGCTCCTTAACCCCCATACCACCAATGGCCAACAGGCCCCAGAAAGAGGAGCTTCGTCCAGACCCAGGGACCTTCCCGTAATCAAGGCTGTGGTGACCTCACCTCCCTGGGGCCCTGAAGGCAGGGAGAGCTTGAGATGGAAACAAAATGTGTCTTTATTTATGCTTTTAATTTGAATTCTGGAACTGGCCCAGCGTGGTAATACATTTAACATCAGTAAAATGCTGAAGAAAAATAGATCTGGCTTTCAGCAACCACCTCCCACCCACTTTGCCCCCTGTGAGACCCCTGCACACACCCCTGTCCTTTGCACACTCATCAGGGCACGTTCCTCTCTTCCTAGTGCAGGTACATGGGGCCAGCTGCCCATAAGAGCCTTGTTGCATCCCTGAGCAGCTAGAGTCTAGATTAACTATGGGCATCCATCACCAGGCATAGTGGGTGGGAGATATAGGAATGCAGCCCCCGTGTGGGAACAAGGGCCTGGCTACCCCTGCCCCACTCCGGGCAGTTGGGCCCTGGGTAAATACAGTGCCCACTGTGGTTCACCTGCTCCCCCAGGATGGGGTGGGGGCTTACTCTGGGGGCAACTGGGGTGCGAGTACTCAGATACTTTACTGTACCTGTGTCCTGTCCTTCCTTCCAGGACTTCTCAAAGGGATAGGTGTCTAGACTCCTTGATGCCTCAACCCTGACTCTGATCAGATCATAATCCTTTGCTAAAAACTTGTTCTTCCCTCTCCCACCCTTCCCTTCCCTGCAGGGGAGCCCAGCATGATGCCTGGGGTCCTCTCTGCCTTTCCAGCACATCTAGCTCCTACTTTTGGAAGGTACTTCCCTGACAAAAGGCCTGACAGGTTCCAGGGCAGGAACTTCATTGGGTAAGGACTGGGGTCATGGCTGTGCCAGGGCCCAGCTAACAGTGGAAGTCCAGGAGGCCCAGCAGTAGAGCTTGAGAAAGGCTTGTAATGTGCCAGGACCACAGAAGGCAGAGGGCTTTGGTTCTGTTGTTAGAGGGGACAAAAGAAACTACCTGGTGACCTGGACCATGAAGCCACACTGGTTTGAGGTTGCCTCTAGATCAGAAGGGCAGGCTTTGGTTCTAGCGGGCTCAGAATTTGCTAGTGGCAGCATAAGTCGTCTTTGCCCCAAAAGGGGCAATTGCAGGGGAGCTGTAGGCTTGACTATGGGCCACATAGATCCCCAATCATTCTCCCCTAGACCTCCCTGCATCCTCTGCACAGGGCCCAAGAGCTGGCAAGGCCTGAGTATCCTGGTGGTGAGAATAAAGGACAATGTTTTCTAACAGGAGGGGAGTGGCCAGAAGGATAAGAAAGGACAGGTTGCGTGGCCCCGTGAGACTTAGGTGACATGTTGGGGCCCACTGAGTTCCCAGCGTACTCTTGGCTGACTCCACTCCTGAGTTGACACTCCATCTACCTTGCATATACCAGCAGCCACAGAACTCCGGTCTTCACCACTTAGGGATCTCCCATGCCTTGGACTTGACTGGGAACCTTAGCCATAGTCAACTATCCTGTGAGCCTGGATGCCTTGGGAGAGAGTGGGCAGGTTCTGTTTGGTTATAATCACACCTTAGGACGACCAGTCCTTTCCTGCAGAGTGGCCTCATTTTGGCCCCCTTACTCTGCCAGTTCCCAGCACTGTGGGTTCCAGCTTCCTTAGTCACCTATAAGACTAAGTTCACATCTGGTTGACAGCAAAAAGAGATCCAGGGTCTTACTATGACAAAGGTGCATACGGTTCATTCGGGACAATCTCCTGACCCTCAGAGAGTTGAAAGAACAGAACACACTAGAGAAGCACCAGTAGAGAGATGGAAAGAGTCGCAGCAAGTGGCCCTCAGAAGTGTGGCTCTCACATCCTGAAACAAAGATACTTCACAAGGGAACTCCCCATAAGGGAGTGGCCAGAATGGGCCCAAGTGCCCCACTGACCCCAGTGCATTGCTGTCACCGCTAGTTGCTTGGTTTAGAGCAGTGAGTCACACATCACAGGGGAATCACACCATGGCCGGGCACCAGAGATTGGCCTGGTGATGCTGTGACGGTGGGGGAGGATGGCATGTAGCCCAGGCCAGCTGTGCCTCGGGGGAGGCCAACTGGAAGGCGTGGAGAATCAGCCATTTCCTCCACCTGAAGGAGCCCCTGAGGACAGCAGCGGCAACTGGCAGACGGCACCCGGCATCTGCCCCAGAGCTTTGGCCAGGGTTCCATGGGGAGATGCTAAAAAACAAAGTCGACTCTTTTTGGAGTTGGGGGAGGGGGCAAGGGGAGAGAAAAACAATCTTCTCAGACGCTCAGAGCATGAAAACAAGTGGAAAATGATCAGTCTGGTTTTCCATAAGTCAAAACAGGAGGATCATGTTCCCAGACTCCACGGGAAATGCCCTTGCTCTCCTCTCCTGCCTGGTGCCTGGCACTGGGGCCAGGCCTGGCAGCTGATGGCTCCGGGTTCCTGACAGTAGGCAGTAGGTGCTGGGTGAGTAGACAGCATCCTGGCGCAAGAGCAAGCCTTCCCTCCCCCTGTGCCAAAGTGTCCCGTCTGAGGCCCATGCCCCTCTAGCCCAGGCTCTGTGGGCGAGTGGGCACTCACTGTGACACGTGGGTTATGGGGGCCAGCAGCGTCTCCCCTTCCAAGTCCAGGTCCTCAGCGAAGCTGTTGGTCCTCAGGAAGTGGGCAGGGCTTACTTCCAGCAGCGTGGGGCTCTTCCTTACTGTAGAAAGGGTGAGTGACAGCACATTAGGCCTCTACTTGGGGCTTGATAGTGAAGGAGCCCCAGAACTGGGCTCAGATGCCCACCCTTGCCTCCTACTGGTGTGGGAAAGACCTGTGAACTCTCAGGCTCAGGTGAGAAGTAGAGATGGTGCCCAGAAGCTTCAACCTTAGGCGTGGGTGTGAGGTGGGGTAAGTGAGGGTTTAAGATGGCCTCAAGTGCTTGAGACCTCAATGTCCAAGAATGGTAAGGGCCAGTGAATCCTCTTCAGTGTGATAACTACCTGAGGCTGAGCTCAGGAGTCTGGGACTCATCCTAACTTGTATTCTGGTCTCTCCCCAGCTTTGTATCTGGGTCAAGGATAAAACATGGATAATAGGGACAGGTCTGGTTCAGACAGTGGCTCCCACTGTCAATGCAGTTATAAAATGATAGGGCTACAGACCAGGGCAGTAGGACTCCTGCATCTAGAAGTCACAGCCCTGACTCCTCACTGGCCATGATGCCCTGTCAACCACCTAATATAAAGTATTACAAAAGAATTCAGTACTCCTAAGAAGTGGACTGATTGAAAGATTCACAATGGCTCTCCTTTTTCAATGTCATCGCTGTTAACTTCAGCTGGATGTCTAGTTCCTGCCCCACTCTGCTCGTGAGAGTACACAGGCTAGGCAGGAATTGCTTTTTTATACAAGTTGGACAGCTCTGCTTTTGTCCGTTTGTTACTGCAACACCCTCATGTCTTCCTCTAGGTATATCCAGGTGGACCTGATGATCATTTTAATAGTTACACAGTAATCCATAGCTTAGTTCTACTATAATCAGTTCATCCACTGTGTATTGTATGGACATTTGTGTTCTTTTAGATTTAAGCCACTTCTTCAGGCAGTGATGCCAGCAATATCCTTCTTTATTCCTAAAAGGTGATGTACTGGAGCAAGGCAAGATGATGCATCCTTGGTTTTTAATAGATGTTGTGGATTGCTTTTCTAGTAAGTTATAGAAACTAACCCCCCGCCCCCACCAAAGTCCCCACACCCATACTGGCTGTCAGCACCCTCTATAGGTCTAGGTCTTACCAAACATGAATAAAAACTGAAATCTCTTCTCATTTTCATCTACACTAAATGTCATTAACGGGATTGGCAGGTGTTTGAATTTCCTCTTGCAGAATTGCCTTTTTATATATCTGTTGCTCATTTTGCTTGTGACTTTTTAGGACATTTTTATATATTAGAGACAGTAACCCTTTGTTATATAAGGCATAACTATGTCAGTCCATCTTTGGTCTTTTAACTTTTACTGTAATTATGTTGTTTTTATTGTTGAAAATGTCTTTTTTTTCTTTTACAGTGATACATCTTTGCTTTATGAAAAAGGAAGATTTTCCCACACCTAAGTAATACCACTATCCCTTCAATTTATTCCTTATATAAATGCGTGTGTGTATTCATAAGTATGTGTAAATTTTAATACATTTAACATTGATGTCTAATTTGAGAGATGGCCAACAATCAAAATAAAAATTTAAAAGGTAATATATACAATCTTACTAAAAAACTCAAGTAAAATGGAAAACTATACAATATTTTGAAGAAAACAGAAAATCACTGGGACCTTGGATTTGGCAGAAAGATTTGAAATACAGTAGCAATTGCTCAACCAGAAGAGAAAAAGGATCAACGAATTGTATTTTATCACAATTAGAAACTTTTTCTCTGTGACAGACTTTCAGTGGAATGAAAAGACAAACCACAGATTTGGAGAAAACATTTTCACTTCACTTATGTCAATGACTATGCCTAGGATCTGTAAAGAATGCTTATAATTTTATAATAATAAAGCAAACGGCCCAATTTTTAAAATGGATTACAAATAAGCATATGAAAAGGTGCTCAACCAGCAACAATAATCATTAGAGAAATACAAGTTAAAACCACAATGAGTTACCACTATACCCTTGTAAGAATGGCAAAATTCTTAAAAATCAAAACCTAACAATAAAAAGCAATCACCAGGATGTAGAGCATCTGGAACTCTCACATGTTGGTGGGAACACAAAATGGCATAGCCACTTTAGAAAACACTTTGGCAGTTTCTTAAGCCCTTTCTCAGACATTACCCGATTTAAATATTTATGTTTGTAAAAACATGTATATAAGAATGTGTAACAATTTCATTTACAATTGCCGAAAACTAGAAACAACCAAGATGTCCTTTGATAGGCGAACAGATAAACAAACCATGTTGCATCTGTTTGATCCATGCAGTGGAATACCACTGAGCAATATAAAGAAATGATTTATGTAACAACATGGATGAAACTCAAGTACATCTTGCTAAGCAATGAAAGATGCAAAAGCATGTGTTATATGATTCAATTTCTAGGACATTCTAGAAAAAGTAGAAACTACAGGACCAAAAATAAATTAATGCTAGTGGTTTGGGCAGGAGTACTTCAAAAGAAGTTCTTCTGTATGATACTGTGGTGGTGGATGCATGACTTAAGGCATTGTCAAAGCTCACAGTACTGTAACTCTCCAAGTGAATTTTCCTATATATGAATGAAGAATCAACCAGAAAGTTGGAGGTTCCTAGGAGGAAAGCAGATCATGATGAGTAGAATATAATTGTGTTACAAATGTATGAGATAGCCCTGAAAAGACAGGTGGAAAAAAAGCTGGCCTACTGTTGATTTCACAAACAATATTTTGACCGGACACTGAGTAGCTAAAGGCAAAAAAAGTTACTGACATAAACACTATATACTTTAAGGTAAGTTTGTTTCATACAAGGGTACTTCCTGTACAACAAGGTTATATAAATGAGTAAATATACTAGATAATGGAGGTGAGAGCCGGGGCTGGGGGAGCAACGATGTATGCTATAGTTAGAAACATTGCTATAAACTCAGGGTTAGCTGCAAACATTTACTGAGAGACACAGAGAAATATGAACAGCATTGTATACTCAATATATATATATATATACACACACACAAAATATATATATACACTATATATATACACACACGCACCATATATTTCCTAATTCTATACACTGAGATGAGTTAGAAACTGACACTCTCATAGCAATGAGCCTAACAAGTGCCCACCTCATGGTTACTAAATATCAGTACTATTATGTTCTCCAGTATAAAGAACCAAGACTCTGGATGAATGGGTGATTCTAAGGCCTAATACCCGGAAAATATAAAATGGATCTGAAGTATTGTTTAGTGCCAGAAAGGAAGGAAACACAAAAATAAACATTAAAGAAAGATGGGGCATGTCAAAAGGACACATGCAAAACAGTGGACAAAGCTAGAATAAGTTGAACGACAAAATAACAGTAGTATTGGATTATAACAAAAATACCTACTCCTTAGTCCATATTGATAAATAATTGAAAAGAGAGGCAAATCTTCCTTACTGAAGAACTCCAAATAGCAAGTGTAGAAAGACTGAAGAAAATAGAAATACACCATAGTAGTATCTGCTGCAGGAAAGATCTATGAATGAATATTGAAATTAGTAGGTGAAACTTTAAGGAGGAACTTCAGAGTAACTCCCCCAAAATATGTTTTAACTGGTGCAGTGGTTTCAACACATTCACATATTTTCTGATACCCTCGTGCAGGAGCCAGAGCTGAACTCACCACCCCTTGAATATGGGCTGAAGTTAAAATGATTTGCTTCTAATGACTAAAACTACAGAAAGGGAAAAATAGCTCAGTTACAATGGAGGAACCTGACCCCCACCACCTTCACCACATGGATGTGATACAATGAGAAAAACATCCTGCCTGTGAGGCAGTCTTCTCCGGACCTATAACCTTAGAATAATCCTGGGAAAATTTAGACAAACCCAAACTGAGCAACACTGATAACTGACCAGCATTCTTCAAAAGTGTCAGCCTCATAAAAAATAAGACTGAGAAGCTGTCATAGGTCAGAGAAGATTAAGATCTGCTACCATAAAAGTAATGATGGATCTGGATGGGATCCTGGATCAGAAAAAGGACATTAGTAGTTAAACTGAGGAAATAACTGTTGCTTGATAGAGTTGTATTAATGTTAATTTCCTAGTCTTGGTCAATATACCAAGGTTACGTAAGATGCTAATGTTAGGGGAAGCTGGTGAACACAAAAGAATCTTAAGTATTTAAAGATATGTAAGAACTATGAAGAAAAGTATAAAAAAAACTTCACTCAGAGACATTGAAGAAGACAAATAATTAGAGAACTATGCCTTCATTCCACTGACTAGAAGACTCAATACTGAAAACGTTCTCCTTAAATCTTAAAAAAAATTCCCAAAGTTTGTTTGTGAGCACCTTTGCAAGCTGATTATAAAATTTAGAAGTGTAAAAGGCCAACAATTGGTATTATTCAAGAACAGAGTGGAGAACTTGTTTTACTAAACATCAGTACTTCTTCCAAAGCAATGGTCATGGAATGTGGTGCTGATGCAAGGAGAGACTAACAGGCCAGTTGGACATGACTGAGCATCAGGAGATAGTCCCCACATATGGACACTTGCAGTGTATCAGTGGTTGCCTGTATATCATTGAAAGAGGATGGACTTTTCAATAAAATACTCAGGAGCAATTGCATATGCACATGGGAAAAACATTAAAATTGGACCCTTAATTTCCTAACATTATACCCCAAAAACTCATTCTTGGCATTCCAGGGGATTGAAGGCCTAGTTATGAAAAGCAAAGCTATAAAACTTATATAATTGAATATAGAATATCTTCATAACCTTGGGATTAGGAAGAATTTTTTAAAATCCAAAAGTAATAACCATAAAGGAAAAGATTAATTTGATTACATTAGAGTCAAGACCTAATCATCAAATTACATTTTAAAGAGTGAAAAGACAACTACAAAAGAAAAATACCCACAAAATATAAAGAACTCCTGCAAATCAATAAGAAAAATATAAGGGACCTAATTAAGAATGAGCAACAGACAAAATAGCACATCATAAAAGAGGAATCTAAAAGGCTGATGAGCATGTGGAAAGGTGTTGTGGCTGACTAGCAATCAAGGAAATGTAAATAAACTCAGGAGCTCATGGTCCATGGGGGCCAATGGCAGACTTCCAGCAGGAAACTGCACAGACATTACTTAGTTGCAGCCGGGAGAAGGGCTCTGAGTGAAGGGCTCTGTGCCCATGACATCCTTGGAGAGACCAGGCAAGGACTGGTAAGCCTTGAGGAATGTGTGCAACATTCAGAGGCCCACAGGTCTGGAACCTGGTGTGAGCATTTTACCGCCCCCATTTTAGAGACTCAGGGCTGAGATTCAAGTACCCTGGGTTATATTATACAGTTGTCAAGTGAAAGAGCTAAAACTTCATCCAGGATTCAAATGTTCTTTTGGAAAATAAGAAAAAGAACACAAATACATATTTCAATGTCTGCATCACTTGTATACAGAATGAAGGAGCGGCTGCAAGAGGGGCCTGCTTTACAAACACCCAGGATGATAAGTGCCATCTCCAAAGCCTGAGGGCCAAGGCTGAGCCACTCGACCCCTGAGAAAGGCCCTGTGCTGGTGTTTTAGGAAATTAAAATGTGCACATCAGTTGGCTGCTCAGAGCGGGTGGGGCTTGCACCTGCCAGAGAGGAATGTGTGCTCTTTGGTTTAATCCTGGGAACAGCACAAGGGGCCCTGCAAGTGAGAGGGGCTCCACAGGGTTGTTTTTCCAAATCAAAAGGAGAGACTGCTATCTGCCAGGCATGTGTGTCGGTGACTGTTGGGTGTGCTTCTTCCTCCACAGGGACACAAAAGACCAGGGCTGCCACCTCCTCTTCAATTTGACCTGGAGCCCCAGCCAGTGCAGAATTCTAGAAGATTGTGGAGGGGTGGGGGGCAGGGACTCAACTCCTCCTAGATATGGTGGTGCTGTTTCTTTTAGTCAAGGACTTGGGACAAGTGCTGTACACTAACAGGCCCTGCTGGCCACTCCCACTTCTGAGGAGCCCAGTGTTGGTCTATCACAATGATGTGAAAAGATTGCCCAGCTGCAGAGCAAGCAGAATCCATGGTGAATGTGACAAGGCAGCTCATCTGGACACCCAGACCCTGCAGAGGGCAATGGAGCAGTGCCAGGTGTTCTCTGCTGAACCAGCCAGAGTGCCTGGCCCTGGGGAACAAGCACTATTTCCTGGTGACAATGAAGTCACACTTTTCTAAGGCAGTCCCAGTTTTTGATGCTTTCATTCCTTGGCTGTCTTTGCCTTTTCAAGGCCAGAATTTGGGCCTAAGTTTTCAGGGCAGAACAAAACAATTTTGTTTTCTAGGAAAATGGGAGGTCTGGGATGGCGAATGCAGCATCAGGCGTGGTGACTGCCCCAGCTGGGGCCGCCAGCTGCCAAGTCTCACCCTGTCTCAAGAGAACCGGAACCAGACTCGGCACAGCATCTTCCTTTCCAGCCAGTAGACCTGCTCAGTAGGGTTATTTGAATTTTATTTTACAAAATATAACCACAGAAAAAAGACTGGAAGGAAACAGATCAAAATGTTAATTGTGTTTGTCCTTGTGTCAAGGGACTTTGGGTGATTTTTATTTCCTTCCTTATCATGTTTGTGTTTTCAATTTTGAATGCTATTTTCATAAGTCAGAAAACAATAATTCTTGAAAGTCTCTCTTATCTGTGCCTTGCTCTCAGGCCCATGGCCCTGCTACATGTCATCCTGGAGTTAACAGAATGTATGAGTGTCCCACATCCCTTCCCTCTTCCTTAAGTTGTTCATTTGGCTAGACTCTACAGAACTCTTCTGCCATGAAGTTCTCCAAGTATTTCCATTCCAACAGCATGCGGCCTCACTTTCTCTGCATTGAGCGCTTACTCCTCCTTGCTTATACCAGGTCAGCATTCAAGTGCCAGGTAATGGTCCAGCTCACCCCTGCTGCCCGCTGCCCTCTGCTGAGTGTTGTTGGCATCTGTGCTCTTCTCGGTACCTTCACCCAGCTGCTCAGCCTCTGCCCTCCTCCTAATTAAAATCCTGCTTAATCTCCCAGGTGTAACCCAAGACTTTTTCCCCCACGAGCTTCCCAAGATTGCTGCCTCCTCTGGATGACTGTGGGGCTTATATGTGCCTGGCCCTCAGCACAGGAACCTTGCATTCTGCCTCCCCCACATCCCTCCTGTGCCTGGCATAAGCAAGATTGCTGAGCCAGCTCATCCCTCTGGATAAACAGAAGCTGCCCCTTTCCTCCCCAAGGTGTGGCCCCTTTTCTGGCTTTCTCAAGAAATCTCCCCCTCTTGGTGGATTCACCAGAGCCTTGTGGATACTGCACTGTGAAGAGAACTGTTCCCTAGGGCATCTGGACAGCTGCAGCCAGGCCCTGCGTGACATTGCTGAGCTGAAGCCCCACAGCCTGTGCCAGCTGCCATGCCCAACTCATAGACCCTGAGCCAGAGCAGCCCCGTCACCACCTGTGTCTCCTCTCAGAGGCGAGAAGTAAGGGACACGGACAGAAAGAGTAAAAGCCATTCCCACAACAGCTGCCAGGAACAAGGCGAGGAGTGGAGTGAAAATGTATATTCACAGTTGGCACCCAGTTCCGCTTAGGAAAATACCTTGCTTGAGTGGACACCTGTTGTTTTTGCCTGCCCAGCAGCCAAGCCTGGCTTTTGGAAACAGCTTCTTGAATCTTCTTTAAAGGGATTCCCTCCTTTTCTATGCCTAGGGTTCAAGGTGCAGGTACCCACTGGCCAACTTCAGAGGGGTTGTTGTGGCTCCCACCTTGGACACCAGAAGCAGAGTTGCACATCAGAGGATGGTTTGTATCCTGTTTGGGGTCAACGACAGCCTGGCTCAGACTATGGCAGGAATTATGAGAAAAAGAGATGACCTTTTTTGCTGGTTTGCCGATTTTGGCGTATACAAGCTAATTAATGGCTATCTTGTCTATTCGAAAGTGGTTGCCTAAGGATATAGCTATGTCATGGGGCCAATGGATAGAGAAAGTGAGAGAGAAAACAAAAGAATGAACCGGGTGGAGGGGGGAGGAGAGCAAGATCATCACAGCCCAGGGGTCCAGCTGTGTCTGGAACAGCTGGGTCCAGATGTGTGAGCCAAAAAATGTCCCTTTTGTCCTTAAGCTAGTTTGAGTTGGGGTTCCATCATTTGTTACCCAGAGAGTCTTCAGGAATGTGTGTGACAAACTTGAGGGTGACACGTGTGTTTAAGATGTGGCTGGGAGGGGGAGGTCAAGGTTACAAAAGAGCTAAACTCCTCCAGATAGTCCTTGCTGGGCTTTGCAGGGCAGAAGGCAGGGAGGAAAAGGCTGGTGGGAAAGAAGTTGGCCTGAGGCCTGAGCCCCAACCCTGCAAAGCCAGGGAGCTCTGGGAAAGGGGCTCCCTAAGGCTGGTTTTTGACTTTCTACTATTGTAATGCAAATCCCCATAACTTCAGGGAGCCCCTTTCCACACTCTTGTGTAAGAGGGTGTGTGGAGCAAATTGTGGAGCATGTTGGGGCTCATTTAGTCAAAGGTGATCCAGAATAGATTGGACATGACAGTGATACAAGAGTTGAAGACCTGTGGAATCCGGAGAAATCCCTGTAAGGATGCTGGCCTCTGTACAATCCTTGAGTTTCGATTTATGGGTCCCCTTGTCCTCCAAATGCTTCCCTTCACAATGGAGACACGGATATCAGCATATACAAATCCTGGAATCAGTGGAAATAGTTTTGTGGGCCCAACAGTGGAGTCTGAATAGTGGAGATGCTGAGCAGGACAGACAACAGAGGCAGGACAGGGTCAGCCCTGAGTGAGCCCAGGAAATGGAAAGAGAGCAACACAGCTACCCACAAAACAAAATCAACCCACCCGAGTCTCCATGCTGCAGGAAGTCACTGTCCAGGTCTCCCAAGACACTTTCAGGGGAAGGTTCCAGGCAACAAGAGCAGCCCCGGGAAACTTTAATATACAATGGAATCTGGGTTAAGCACTATCTTCTCCAAGAGTTGAGCTCACAGGACATTCCCCAGAAACCTCTGGAGAGGTGGGGAGGAAAGTTTCTGGAGGTCTTTGGATGAAGAAAACAAAAAAGTGGCCTTGATTTTCAAGGCAAAATTACACAGGAAGAAAAAAATGTTTTTAATCTAATTAAGAGCGATCTTTTCACCTTCATCACAACATCACGGAAATGTGCCAGTTCTTAACTTCACACAATAATCAAAGCAATTAGTGAGGGAGAAGCCTTGGAAACTGGTGCAGATGTTCTCAGAATGTTTAATGGGGAAATGAGTTGCAGGCCTCGGTCTCAGCATCCGGCTCCAGGCCCTGGCTACCAAATCCAGACATCTGCTGAAGCCCCACCCCCAGGCCCCGAGGGCGCAGGCTTGAGAAACACAGGTCCCTTCCCAGGCTGCCTCCAGCCAGGCCAGATCTGGGACTGAAAGGCTCCCCGTGGCTTCTCAAGCCAGAGCCTGGACACAGTCAGAGCCACCCCAGAGCTGGGGGGAGACTTAACGTCAAAATTATGTTAACAACTGATGTCAAAAGTAATCAACTCAGCCTGGTTCCCCCATTCCTGCTGCCTGTAGGAGGACTGTGAACAAGAGGAGGGCAAGAGGTCCCAGAGGTACCTCTGCAAAGAACCCCTCATCATGAACACCATTTCATGTAAAGATATAGTAGCATCTGCTCAGTGTGCCTTGTGGGCCTCATTTGAATGCTGCTGGACCTACTAGGTCCAGGAATCAAACTGGGCAATCCTTGAGAAATTTCCAGTAATCAGAAAACGTGTACAAGTGAGGATCATCCTTAGGAAATAGCCTGTTCCAAGAAGGAGAAGGATGCATGGCTAATGTTAAATGGCTGTAGGAGAGATAGAATCCCTGGGCAGGCAGTTTAGTAAACCTGGATTCCCTACTCGAATGGCATGCACTAGGAACATGGAGGTAAGAAAATATTGATCCTGTTCTCAGGGACACAGGCATTGTGGGGCCCCACCTGCGTACCACCTTCAGCATGCACATCTTTCACACTGAAGGCTTCTCAATGTATGCCTCCCAGATACACTAATGAGCACCAACCCTGATATCAGGGCTGCTTAATTGTGCATTTGGCAAGAGGGATGGGAAATGAATCCTTGGGAAGTATTCAGTAGTGACAAATAACCAGTTTCCTTCTTCACTGGTAGAACTGTAAAGCATGTTCTCTACAGAGATACCCAGCTGCCTACCTTGGAGCTCTTTCTTGGTGACTGGCATAGCATTCCTGAGTTAGGCTTTACATCCATGGAAACTGACCCAAGACAATGTGAGAGGAAGCTGCTGAAGCATTTATGAAAGGAAGCAGCAAGACACACTGTATATTTAAAGAATCCTCTGGGGATACTGTGGAAGTTGAGAGACCATTGAAGAGGAAAGAGCAACAACCCAGGAAGAGAAATGATAGTGACATTTACAAGACAGGTCTGTGGAGAGGTTATGAAAGGGCAAATCCAAAGAATTGACAAAACTCGCTGAGGTATTTGACGGGGGCAATAAATTTTTCTTAAATGCAAAATTTGAAAGAGACTTTGACGGAGGTTGGAGAACAATAGCATGCTGCTTCCCTCCCTCTGACTTCAAATCTCCCCATATACCTTCCTAAAACAAAACCAAACAAAATTGCATTTAAAGCAATACATGACCCATGCATTCTGCAGTACTAGAAAGCAATACTATGAACTATGAAAGGAGAAAACCGAATTCTGACCACATTCTAGCCCTCTGCCCATCATTGCAAGCCTGTAGGTGCAAAATGTCCAACAAAGCTTAAGATGTTTTGTCAGAAAAATTGACTATGGTGAGCAACATTGCAAAAATATTTCCAAGGACACTTCCCTTCACAGATACATTTTTAAAGAGGCAGAACCTCAGAATCAACCTTGTCAAAACTCTGAAAAGCAGTTGATGGTTTACAGCAATTAAGTGAAAAAGTTATAATACAATTTAAAAATGGTAGGAAATGAAGTGTTATGGCACACACCTGTAATCCCAGCATTTGGGAGGCTGAGGCATGAGGATAGCCTCGAGTTCAAGGCCAATCTGAACTACAAAGCGAGATCCTGTCTCAAAACAACGACAACAACAAACAAAATGGTAGGAAAGTGTTGTGGCATTTTTATTTGCCCTTTCAGCAGCACCCCCCCCCCCCAGCTTGGTCAATCTTGCAGATGGAAGCTTGTAGTGTATTTCAAGTGTTGTATACTAGTCCCTGGTTTTAGAAGGAGCAGAAATCTTACTTTAAAAGAATTGGGTCTTTTCTATATTGATTGAGGGCTGCCTGAAGGACTGATGTAAAGTGATCGCCTTTGTTTCACCTAACTTACAACTGATTCAGGGAGGAAAATTTTGAATGTTGCTTGCAAACATGGTAAGACGCTTGAACAAATCACGATGACCTGGAGAACAGGAACCAGAGGAAAAGATTCGAGGTTGAGGCATGTTAGGCTACTGAAAACCTTTGACGACCATCTACTGAGAGTTTCTCTGGGAAAATGGAGCATTGCAAAGCTTCTGTGTATCCTGAGGAAATCTGTAAATCAATGTATGTTCACAGGGTTGGATGGATGCTAAGAAAAGCCCTCAGAACACCATTAAATTTACTGCTGGATGATTTCTATGCTCACCTCAAACTGTAAATGAAGGCTAAGAGGGTTGTAAACAGCCTGGCTAAATGTTGAAGGAATACTCTAGCAGAGCTAATTTGCAAAAGCTGCAATAATTTTTGTTTCCTTTTCATGATCTCTCTCTGACTCGTGGCACTCAAGGGTATCTGTTATAATGAACTGAACATAGGTTAAAGGAAAAGGAATTACAAAGACCACCCCTGACAATACACACTTCACAAAAAATAGTTTAGAAGTCACTAAACAAACAGCTATAGACTGTGGGATTTAAAAAGGTCCTGATTTCCAAAGTTATCATACATATTCTTAAAATATTTAGTGTTAAACAGAAATATGAGAAAATATATGGCCATTTATAGAAGAAACTATCTAAGGAAACACACTGAGCTTATTGGACAAAGACTGCAAGTCTAAAATATTCTCAGAGATCTAAACAAATTATGAGCAGAGAACTAAAGGAAACCAGGACAATAGACAATGTCAATAAATACATAAACTACACAAAAAAATTTAAAGTTCTGGGGCTGGGGATTTAGCTCAGTGGTTCTGCCGCCTGCCTCGAAAGTGCAAGGTCCAGAGTTCAATCCCCAATACCAAAAAAATTTTAAAAAATTAAAAGAAAATAAAGTTATGGAACTCAAAAATATAACAAATGAAGAAACTCAATAAACCAGAGACTAGCAGGTTAAATTAGCAGATTAGGTAAAAGAGTGAGTCAGTGAATTCAAGAAAGCTTGAGTAAAATTATCAATTCTGAGCATCAGAGGGAAGAGAATGAAGAAAAATGAGCCAAACCTGATAGCCCTATAGTATACCATCAAGAACACAGGAAGAATATTTCAACTTCCCCAATTTGATGAAGCACATGAATCTATATGTCCATGAGCCTATAGAAACTCCACAAAGGATAAAAAGTCACTCAACATAAACCGTTAAAAGAGAATTGTGAAGGGAGCAAGAGACATGACTCATCATGTAGTGATTTCAATAACAATAACATTTCTCATCAGCAAGTATGGAGGCCAGAAGGGAATGTGATGGCTTTAAGTGTTGAGAGAAAAAAGCAGTTTAACAGCAAATAATTTTGTATCTAGCAAAATTATTCTTCAAAAATGAAGAATTCAGAGCCTTTCCAAATGAACAAAGGACAAGAGTGCTCATCACTAGTTGATTTTCTGCACAAAATGTGATAAAGAGACTCATGATTAAATAAAAGGACACTAGAAAATAATTTGAGACGGCACATAAAAATATGAAATTCTACAATAGGTATCTACACAAACAAAATTCAGCATTATTCTATTTTTAGTTCATAATTCAATTCCTATCTGATGTAAAAATGCATAAAACAAATCTAGATAATGATACTTAAATGTATCTTACATAAAATACATTTTGAAACTACAGGCACATATAAGAGAATGGAGGTCTATGGGATTTTAACTTTTGTGTGTTATTGAAACTATATTAGTAGAAGTCCAAACTAGAGTTTTATAAATTTATAATGTTAGTTGTAACTCCCATCTAAACTATGCAGAAAATGTCTTAAAATATATGCTTACATTTCTACACGTAAGAGGCTTAGAATGCACTACTGTGTCTTAACAATTAAGTTAAAAGTTGAACAAACTGAAAAATCAACTCTTTTAAAATATGTAGCAGAACTGAGATTAGAGGGCAAACCACCACTCTCAAAACTGAAGAGAGACAGGTGGATACAGAGAATCAACATATTAGAGCTGAAACCTGCTGTAATCAGTGCTGGGTAAGAAAATCTGAAGCACAGTTTATAAATTGCTGGCAGTCAGGCATGGACAAGTCTGTAAATTCAAAAATCCAAGGAGACGGAGTTCTGTGTGTATTTGGAGGGGAAGAGAGTTCAAGTTTTCATGAGTTATCACCTCAAGAGCTTGACCAGGTTTTCATGGTAAACATGAGAAAAATTCCCTTGTAACTTTCATCATGGAAAGGGTAAAATATTTTGAATATATCAAAGTACTTTCATCATAAAAAGGCCTGCCTTCAGTGGAAATTAGTTAACTAGAGCCAAATCTGCTGGAGTTTCATCAGAGCCTAAATGACCTGGGGCAAGGCAACTATTCAACTGTGGCCAGCTCTAACCTTCCATGTCGAAGAATGGAACTATCTAGCTCCCACTCTGTCCACCCTGTGCCAAACAAGAGGTGAGAAAACCCCCAATGAATGGTAAGTTTGTAATCAAGAGGCCTATAGTTAGTAAGGTGAGACCTCAACATAAAACTATACAAGACCTCTCAGTCCCTCAACTTACCATTTTATTACAAATATCCATTTATTAGCTGTTCCCTTTACCAACTTCATTATGTCCAGTTATTAAAAAAAAAGTCACAAGGCATACAAGTAGGGGAAAACACTTTTAAAAGATAGCAAGCATCAGAACCAGAGATGGCAAAAATGTTGGAATTAGACTGGGAATTTAAAACAACTATTGTTAATGTGCTAAGGAATCTCATGAATAAAGACAGCATTTAGGAACATGGATAATGTAAACAGCGATGGAATTCATTGGGAAAAAAATGTTAGAAATATTAACAGAAATGAAAAATGTCCTTAATGGGCTTATTAGCAAACTGAACATAACTAAGAAAAGAATCTGTGAACTTGATCATACTTCAATAGTAATATCCAAAATTATACAGCAAAAATAGAAGTAACTCTTGGAAGAAGTAAGAATATGCAGAAAGTATTCAAGGGATATGGAACAACTACAGAAGGTGTAATGTGTAATGAAAATGCTAGGCATAGAAGTAAAGAAAGTACAAGAGAAACATTTGAAACAATAATGGTGAGAATTTCCTCTGACTAATGACATACACCAAACTACAGGTCCGGGAAGCTTGTAGAACAATGAGCAGGATACATGGAAAACAAACGAAAAACAACTAACCAACTCCCCCTCACACATCAATTACAACTAGGCATATACTTTTTGAACTACAGAACTCAAAGATAAAAATTCCTACAAGAAGTTAAAGGGCAAGAACTCTTGAATTTAAAAGAAGCAAATATAAGAACTACACATCCAGATTTGCAGTTCAATGTGAGCAAAAAAGTAGAGTGAAAAAACAAAAAATCCTAACAAGTTACTAGTCTAGCATTCTTTACTTTGGGTAATCATTCTTCCACACAAAGGAGAAATGCTTTCTCAGAGAATAAAACTTGAGAGAATTTATTGCCAGTAGACCTTCCCTGCAAAAAATATTAAAAGTTTTCTAGACAGAAGGAAAATAGTATGTCAGAGACACAGATATACCTAAAGAAAAAGAAAGTAAATATAAGATGAGTTTTTTCCTTTAATTGATCTAAGTAAGCCACAAGGACTTGCCCAAAACAATACTAGCAATGATGTATTTAGTTTTGATGTTTGTGTATACATGTCACATATATACATGATATATCTATACATATTTTTATAAGTGAAAGAAATGGCAGCAGTGATAAAAGGGAAAATGTGGAAGAATAGGATTAAGTTACACCACATGTGAACTAATGAAATTAGACCACATGTTATTTGAAAGTTGGCTTTGGGGCTGGGTATGTAGCTCAGTGGAACAGTGTCTGCCCAGCAAGTGCAAGGTCCTGAGTTCAATCCCCTTTACCATAAATACCCCAAAAGTTGGCTTGGATGCATTGAAAATAGCTACTATGAAATATACAACCACATTAAAGACAAAAAAATAAGTATAATGAAGCTGAGAAAGGAAAGAAGATGAAATCATAATAAATGATGAGCTAAAATCACAAAGGACCAAAGACACTTCAAGACACAGGAGTTGTGGAAAACATATTTCACCAACAGCAATACCACATCTCTTATGCAAGTGATGGCCCAGCAGTCTTTCCAGGATTCATGGTTACAGAATGCTCTCTCATCCTCCCTGTTCCTGAGGCACTCTTCAGAGATGGAAGTTTGTTTTTCATATTCATTGGCATGCGGTGAGTATCCTGTCTTTCTAATGCCTACTATACCTATCTGAAGGTCCATATTCCTAATGTCTTATCATACAGCATAGTTCTGGAACTGTAATGGAATGGCCTTGGTAAAACAATGCCAAAATGATACGCCAATACTGAGCTGGCTGCAAACAAGATATCCACCAAGAAGCTGCCACCTGTCACATGAGTGGTATAATCCATATTTCTAACTAATTCCATTGACAAAAAAAACATTTCTGAAGATGGTGGTAGGTAGGAGAGAGGCAGGCTTTATTATCTTTGGTTACTCAAGAGAGGGGGCTACATTATAAGAAACCTAATACTCTGTATGGAAACACATCTTTCAAAAACTGTGCTTCAGAGAAGGAGAACACAAAGGGACACAGGATTCCCAACAGTACAAATCTGTAAGAATTTAAGGAAAGCATTCATTTGTATTGCCTGACATATAATAAAGTCATGGCAGAGGACACTACCAAGCACAGGCTAATTTTAGAGTTCTTGTGAAACGGGGTGAGGTGGAGTATTCTATAGCCCTCCTGAGGATAAGGATGACATTACAAAGAAAGCTGAGCAAAGACCTGCAATGCTATCATTGAACGTGCTAGAGACAGAGATTTTGAAGTCCAGCATTGATACTAAGATGCACATGGGTAAAGAAAAGGAGTTATGTGGCTGTGCCCAAAATTGTGCTTCCTCCAGATAAAAATGACAAAGATGAATTTCAACTGGATAAAAACCAGAATATCTGATGTTAAAATTGTGTGCCTGTCTGTGATATGAAACAGCTCCAGGAAGAAAGCTAAAGACATGCTTAAGCGTGGCAGATAAAGAACTGGGCTTGAAACTTAAATCCCCAGAAGCACCTCAGTGGTGAGAAAAGAAAGGCAGGCTGCACAGAGAACACTCATGCCTGCTTGGCTAAAGTCAGGTTACACGGAGAACATTGTCATGTGCTTGCTTGGGTGACTGAGCCCAATAAAGTCATCAAATATAATATGAGCTCTGCTGAAGAGGAATACCTACTGCCACTTCAGTGATTACTGTTGAAGAACAGCCAGCCATGTAAGAAAGGTCTAAGTATACACACAAAGAATATTTTCCTCAATTTACACTACAAAACTCCAGGATATCAACAAATAGGAAAACATGTCATATTAAACTTTTTGCATTAGAAGTTTTAAAACAGCAAATAGATGGAATGTCATGTGTGAAACCAAAAAGACAGAAATAGTGAAAGAAAAAAATCACACAGACAACAAAGAGAAGGCTGTAACAGTATTTCAAATAAATCAATACTATGAGCTTTAATGGTTTAAGTACACTAATTAGAAAACTGTCAGAGTGGATAAAGGAAATCAGAAACCAACTTTGTGAAAACATAAATTCAAAAAATCAATGGGGAAAATGAGTAATTTCACATGGAGACTTTAAAGCAATTAAATTATTAGTGAAATCTATTTTTGAAGAAGTCATAACTTCATTGGGTATTTATAAGAGTACAAACAAAATATACATGAAAAATCTGAACTTTAAAAATAGGTGAATCCTCTTATAATTGGAGATTATGTCAGAAATGAATAGATCCACACTGAAAACAATTTTTGGATATTGTTGAAATGAGCACCATCATTAAGGAACTGGTTATATTGATTTGTATAGTTTTCTTCATCTTACAGAATACATGCTCCTCTCAAGTTCACATGGATTTAATCAAGACAGAATACATTTTAGGCCTTAAAATACCTTAACATATTTAAAAGAACAGAAAACATGCAGTGTCTGCTCTCGTACTATGACACTAATCTGTAATGACAAAAATACTTAAAAATTCCAAAGCACATGAAGTTTTACTTACAATATTTAATACGTGGATCAAAGAAATATGGAAATATTACACATAAAACATGACAACAAAAATGATAAAATTTAGGTAATGCAGTGAGGAGTGATTAGAGGCAAATTTATAGCATATATATATACATATATACATGAATGAAAAAGAAGAAAATATCTAAATTTATTCTTTTAGCTCAGGAAACAAAATGAGTAAATGCAAAGCAAAGAAGTCATAAAATTGCAGCAGCGGCCAATGAGATTGAAACCAAGAAATAGAGAAATATTGACCCTAAGAATAACCCAACCCCTAATTGATACTAACATTGGAAACCCTATAACCAGGCTAAGTAAAGTGAAAAAGTTTGCATCACTAATGTAAGAAATAGAAGTTTGGACTATGAACAGTTCTATTTAAACAAGATTGATAACCTAGATGAAGTGGACTAATGTCTTTAAAAAATAGTCTGCCAAAATTAGCCAAAGAAATAGAGAAATTGAATTGGACTATGACCATGAAAATTGAAGCAATTAATAAATATATCAAACAAAAAACATTATGCCCAGGTGAGTTCATTGGTGAAGTCTCACAAACATTTGAGAGAGAAATTTTACCAATTAGCCATAGTCCCTTTCAAAAGATAGTAGTGGCAGTACTTTGTATCTCATTCTATGAGGACAGTATCAACCTAATTCCAAAATCAGGCAGAATTTTACAATGATTGTTTTAGGGGAGCACGGTGAGTTTTTAAAGAAAAGACAATTTAATGTATTTAGACAAAATACATGAACAAAATGAGTTTAACAAAGAGAACCCCCCCCACACATACACTGAATAGGAAAGTACAGAAAACGTTTTTCTCTAAAATCAGGACAGAGATAAGGGTGTTCTGTCTTGCCACTCCTATTCAATATTGTACTAGAA